ACAATGATGGTATAGTATAAAGAGACAAAGAGGCTGATTAATCCGCCGGTACTTGTTCCCTTTCTCGAGCAGAATTGTTTCTGAGTAAAGGGACGCAAGGTACTAGGTAAGTGGCCGAAAAAGTTGCGCAGGTTGCAGCGAGCGCCGTGGGACGGAGCAGGGGTTTCGGAATATGAACAAAATGGAGCGCGAAGAGCAAGTGGTGCGTCACAAAGAGTGTGTGTGGTTGGGTTTTCGGGTATGAAGCAAAGCCAGGAAAGGTATCCGAAATCCACCACGGCCGGTTCGCAGGATGACGAACTGCAGATGGGTCTGACGAGCTGACGATGGTGATAGCCTTTGGCTCTGTGTATGTTGTGACCGTGGACCAGGTTTCCCACGTGAGGGGGGAGGAGGGAAGGGGAAACGAGGAGCTGAGATACTGCTCGCTCGCGCGTTCCGTCGATAAACCCGTTCCTCCACAAACCGGCCTAGGCTCTAGTAAGGTAGATAGGTAGCTAAACAGGCAATCCAGGGCGTTGGCTAGGCGGCAGTTGAGCAAATAGACTACCAAATTTAGTGGCCAGCGGCAGCCAGCAGCAACAGCGGCAGCAGTTCCAGCATGGGATGAGGTGGTAGCCGTGCAGGTTTGCTTTTGGGCGGCGGGTTGTCTCGTCGCTGTGAAGACGACGTTGCAAAGTGCGGAGTCCCCTGATGAAACGGAGCTCGACAAGGGGCCGCGATTGACTTGACACTTTAAGGGCGGCAGAATTGCGATCTCTTTTGCGGAAACTGCCTGAGCGTTCTGGGGTGGGAGGAAGAAGAGGATGGGAGGAGAGGGCGTTGGAGGCGAGACCAGTGGGGATGTCGGACGGCGCGAAGTGCAAGTCTCGAGGTCTTGACTAGTACCTAGGTAAGGTACGGGCCAGTTCAGTGCGTTGCAGTAGTGACAGCTGGACTGGAATGGGTGCGGGCGCGGCTAGAGATGTAGTGTATCCGGACGAGATGGACACGAGAAGATTATGTGAATGGAAGGAGCGAAGAGAGAGAAAGAGACCAATCCAGCCTGAGACGCAGAATGGAGCAGGCGAGAGAGTGAGAGAGAGAGGAAAGTCTAACGCATGCGGCGCTGGCGTTGGGCGGTGGGGATGTTCTGTTGGCGCGCTTGACTTGAGAGAGCAGTTCAAATGCGCGATAATATCGTCTAAGGTACTCCGTATCAAAGTCAAAGTGCGAAGGAGTCAGTCAGTGGGCTCGTGGAATGCTCAACGTCCAATATGCAGAGGTCCGTATTGAATGGCGCACCGCACCCATAGAATGGTTAATTAGTATTGGCATGCGATGCTACGGGGCGCCGCATCCCGCTGCGTCTTTCAGGGGTTGAGGGCCGAGGGACGTGGACTCGGACGAGTTCAGGAAGGCGCGAAGAGGGAGAGGAGAGTCCGCCGACGAGTAACCCAAGTCCGTGGGTTGAGCCAAATCAAATGCGCCAAAGATCGCCATCGGCATCTACAAGTCTCGTGCTGGGTTCGCCAGTGATACGTCAAGCAGCTTGTCGAGAGAGAACTTAAACATTGGGTACCAGGTAGGTAGGTTGCCTAGCTACCTTACCTTATCGCCGACGCTCAATCATTGACATTTGGCGCTTTAGCCAGTCGCATTAGCCATAACCTGGAGTACCTTCACACCTCAGATGTTAGTCGATTCTTCATCTTGCAATCCCTTCTTCGCATTCGTCCGTTTGTAGACGCCCAAAAGAGCTAACACCCTCACTCTTCTTGCGAGGAACCTCTACACTAGACTGCCCATCCAATGACCCAATGGACCCCCTCATTGGGCGGGTTCCTGAAGTATGGGCGGGCTGGTCCCTCCCCGAGTCCCCAGGCTCCCCTAACCCTTCCGCAGACCCTCCGTTACGGTGGTGCTGATGCTAAAGATGGCGACAAGAACCCTGAGGCCCAATTACAATGCTTGCCCTGTCTGTCCATTTCGAGCCAGAGAGCCCTCTCGAACCATGTACCTCCACATGGAAAGGTGGCGGTGGGGTGACAAGGCATTGTCCCGAGCGGTCCACACCATTGAGGCCCAGCACCGTAAGCGATATTTGATCGAAAATCTCGGGAGCCTCGACTATTATCGTATTACGACGACCTGTCTGCTTACACTAGTAAGATAGGTAGTAGTAGAGCAAACTTTGGGTATTTGCTCCTTAGGCTCGTTTGCGGCTTGCCCTGTCGATATCGTACGAGACTGGCATTTCCACTGAGCGTTGCTTTGTTGATGCAGGAATAGAAACATCAACGGCAATCCCACAGTAGCACGGTGGTCCTGGATGGTGCCATTTCTCGAGGTGTCTTATCTTCGGCTCTCGCTTGAGCATGTCAGATAAGGGTCCCGGGGAGTCCGCGCTCAAGTCATTCCCTCGACCCGACCTTTTGAACGATGGAGCGCACCTGCCAAGTTGAGTAAGTAAGGTAAGGTAAGGGATACGGATACATACTATGGGTACTCATCATCGTCTGTACGAACACTGAAAGGTGAAATGCAAGAGATTCATGATAGTACCATATCAAAGGAGATATCATGTTGAGAGCCAGTTTCTACCGACACACGATCGCTCCATGCTAAGGTGTTCGTGAACAGGACTATCGAAAGCGCCTCTGTCAGTGTCAGGTACCTAAGGTACCTATGGAGCTGGAGTACCTCAGGTACCTGTCCGACCGCTTTCTGGCAGGATGCGCGCAATCGACAGTCTCTCTAGTGGGCCCATCAAGGTGAGCCTGTGTCCACCATCCGTATCTAGCTGCCATGCCTGGCGCCGGCCGGGGCCAAGTGGTTTTTTGATTGCGTATGCCTGTCGACCTCCACAGTGTTGCTCTGCTGCTTTGCTCCGTGTCACGTCAACACCACCTGGGCAGACAGCTTGACAGGGCCGCCTCTTTTGGCTTTAGCCTGGCTTCGTCCGCGCTCGCCGGCTGTAGTTCTCAGCTAAGCTTGCTGATAATCATAGCCTTGTCATTATTCAGCGCAACACCGAATTCCCGGGGACTCTTTCCCACCAGGACGCAAGGTCGACAAATATCTACGCGACATCACCGCCAGGCCCACCATGGGCACCACGATGTCAGTCATTAAGGTGCGCCTTCATCCTGCTGCAATCAAGCTTCAATCTCTCTCCTCCGCGATTGTGTCTCCCGGTAGATCTCTTGAGCTGACTGTTTGTCGTCATATGTCTAGACCTTGATCGTGCCTGCCATCATCTCGCTCATTCTATTCCTCGTTTCGACCTACGTTGCCCTTCCGCTCTGGCGCAGATGGCGCAGTCGCTATAGCCAATATCTGCCTCTCGATACCATATCGACCTCGACTGTGTCATTACGCCACCGCGTGCAAAATGCGATTGCAAGAATGATGGTCCCGTCAACCTGGCGGCGGAATGCTCATGAACGACTCGTCATCGCGACCGACGCTTCCGAAGACGGTTATTCGTCAGAAGATGGCGAGGAGCTTGGGGAGGTCGGTGAAGATACCCGGAGAGCTCTGACAGAAGATGCTCGGCGAGACAGGCATGACAGCACCAGACGCTTAAGCCGAGAGTAAGTCGAGCAATGCTCCCTGCCTCCCTGGGTTTTTTTTCTTCCTTTTGCCGCATGGCCTTGTAACTAACACATGTGTCTCTGCGCCAGCCTGGAAGAGGGCTTTAGAGATGACAGTGACGATGAAGATGATGGAGCTGGTCATAGGCGGTAGTCATCAATCTAATACGCACTTCAGCCTCGCTCCCATGTACCGGATGCCTAGCCCCGTTACCGGCCACGAGGACACTCAGCTGAATATCCGCCTTGCCTTTCCGTCATATACATGCCTTGTTGCCGCATGGAATCCCGTTTCTTCCGCCCTGCATGCAACGCGGGTTGTGGATGGACATGGACACGCGAACTGGTAAGCCTTCGGCCGAGTTGGCCGATCTAGGCAGCCTGTCACCAAGAGGCCAAGCCCGCGATGTCTCTCTCGGCAATCGCTTGTTCCAGGAAAGTCTTCCATGTCAAGCGAACCGGGTCTCGTACTTCGTACCCATCCAAGTTCAACTTCTGGTTCCGCGTTACTAAGGTAGGTATTCGGCAAACGTGGGAATCAAGTGGCGATAAGGGGTGGCTAAAACTGCATACATTTCAATGCTGAAATCAACATCAGCTGAACCTTATGCCGCCTGCCACCCTGCCTCACTTTGGTCGACTGTCTCGCTCCATCTCTGCTCTGTTTGGTCTGAGTTGGGGTCAGGCGCAACCATATGTCCGAAACAAGCACCGCTCAGGCGCCCGTGTTTCCGTCCTGCAGGTCTCTACACCTTACCTAGCTTGGCCTGCCATGTTTCTCTCTTTCGCTATCGGAGACGGCGGCTCTTCTATCCTTTTTTTCCCCTGCCCCTCCTCAGCATGGCATCTCACTCTTGTTTAGTGTGATAAGGAGTGGGATGAAATGGTGGAGGTCAGCAGCACCGAAACGGTTCCTTTTCCTGGAGGACTGGGAAGAGGGGCACGCATTCCTTCTGACAAGCGTCAAGCGTCACACGCTCTCCAGCCAATGCTCGATGTATCCCAGAAAGGTCAGACCAAGACTAAATGCCGCCAGCGCACATGTCAAGCATAGCCCAGCGAGTCGGCGGCACACCTTGTACTCAAGGTATGGCTCCGTGCACCATGCCTTTTCTTCCTGAGAAAGACATGGCTGACCCGGTAGAGGATCCGGAACGGTCCAACGGCGGAGGTCAATGTCGAGCCATCCATCTGCAAGGCACGATTAGCTTTCCTAAAGTCAGTGGCTCTTCCTGTCCGGGTGTTTGTATTCCTGTTCCCTTCTTTGTCATGTTCCTCATCGTCTTTGTTCATCACTGTTCGACCGCCGTTTGGTCTAGCAACAAAGGCTTCGGTTAGTCCGGACTCGTTTTCCTCTAGCAAGTTTTTTGTTCTTTCGACGCTGGGTCTTATAGCGAATTCCATGTCCCTCTCCCGCTGGAGACGATGAACATTTTCAGATCTGTTATGCGGAAGCAGGAGATGGCTTCGAATCCCGCTGCCGACGACACCTGCTGCGCAATATGTTACGAAAAAGTAGGCGAGGCTAAGGAGGAGGGCGACAAGGAGGTCTGGCGATATCTCCCCTGCGGCCACCGCTTTGGTGGCGACTGCATACAACACTGGCTTGGCGTCGCCAGCGTCGACGAGCCGCACTGCCCTTGGTGTAGGGTGAGCATGCGGTGCGACTGTGGACATCCCGTGGTGCCGACGACCAAGCCGACGCGCAATTACATGTACTGGGGCTGGATGCCGTGCGAGATATGTCACACGCAACTACAACGTACTCGCAAGACATCCAAATACTTTCGCGGTCAGCTTCTACCGCGGCTCAACTCTCTCATCCACTCGCTCGACCACAACATGGCGTCCATCCCTCAAGAGGTGCCCAAGGAACAGGAAGAAACACCAACAAAAGAGCCTTGGGAGGACCGAGAGGTATGGAGGAGGAAGTGGACCGAGTACTTTATCCAAGACGATCGGAAAGCTTCTGGGTCGAAATCGCCAAAGAAATGACACCAGTGGGTATTGTCTCCGTCTCTTAGTGGTACGGGAGATATCAACGTCGTGGGGTCTAAGCAGAGACAATGCGACTTCTTTGGTGTTGGGGAGTTCGACTTGACACCACCGCGTACAGAAGCGATGAATACACAAGGGATAGGAATGCACGGCGGTGGTTCCTAAAGGCCGGTAGATCATGGCAACACAACGGTTGGTAGGACTGGCATTATGTCAACTAAGCCATGTCTTTACACAATAGTTTTTGACGGGAGCATCATGACTTGGGCGAAGCCTCATCAGTCTTATCATGAGACAGCAGATGGTATAGGTGGCGGATCTCATTTGTCCAATACCTGTAACGAATTTCCAGCTTTCCACAACAATTTCAAACAAATTTTATTTACTCATTTCTCATATTGGAAATAAGAACTCGAGGCTATCTAGAAGCCAGACTTTCTAGACAGACTTGGACTGCTTCACTGTGATGCAAAATGACCAACCACCTAGACTACACTCCACACCTGTCGACGTCACTCTAGGAGAGTCAATACACCCTCTGACGTCCATACCATCCACCCAGTTCCCGAGATCTTGAATCAAGAATCGAAAGGGGGGAGAGTGAAGCCGGTCGGGGCATTATCCAACTGGCCGGCCCTTCAGTAAGAGAGGTCTCGCCCTCTCTCTCGTCTTCTGCACCCCATGGACCTCAGGCGATGGCGGGGTAGGCGCGAACTGTGAATGGGGTGAGGTCTCCCAATGTGGGTACGCTAGGCAGGGGTAGATGCCCCGCGCTAAAGACTCCCGTGCCGTTTTCTGCAGACCATTTTGCTGGCAGCGCCTGCAGTGCAGCGTGGCGGCAGGCATTGGCAGGCATGTACCACCTTTGCCCGGTGCCTTCTCCCTGCCAGTGGCAGCACCATGCACGACGGCGTACCACACTGCACCGCACCTCTGAAAGGCAAGATCGCGTCGTTTCTCTTTCCACTTTACGCGTCTACACCAAAAGAGGCAATCAGCTTCCCCCCGTTTCTCTCTGCCCGTAACCACCATCCTTTCCCCAGTCAACTGCAGTCGGGTGTTTCTTTCTGTTTGTGTGTCTCCCTGTAGTGTACCTATAAGGTTTTTCCCATACGGACAGACGGACGGCCATCCCGCTGAGAGATCGAGATTTCGAAAATGCGATTCAAGACGGAGCTCAAAAATATCCGTACCTTTTCCAGTGCGTTTGAACCCACAACACCCCAAGCCTGCCTGCCTGCCTGCTTGCCGGCCGGCCGGCTTTGCTGCAACCTTGGGTTCGCTTGTTGACTCTCTGATCATCTCCTTTACTTTACAGAACTCACCGCTGCCCTCAACTCGCTCGAGAAGATCGCATGGGTTCGCCTAGACGATGAAACAGCACGCTTCACCGTCATTCCTGACACGGGTTCTCAGGTCTGGTCGTAAGATTGCTACACTCTGACCCTGGTGGCGTCTTGGGAAGCTATGGTTGCTGAATCGTGGCTCCAGTTCTCTACCCATGGACTTCATCTTTGACAGCTACCACATCCAATCCGCCGAAGACCACAACACCATCAATCTAGAGCTGCCACTGCAACCCCTCCAACGTGCCCTACGTTCAGCGCTCAACAGTACCTCCGCCTCGCTGCGTCTGACCAAGAAGGATGGAATCCCCGTACTGTCCATGACCATCACGACCACGACGAACGCCTCCTCGGGGTTAGGTCTCCCGGGCCGCAACGCCGCCTACGCCGGTCTTGAAAATGACCCTTTTGACGAGGACGACCAGGGATTCGCCGCTGAGCATCTAGAGACGTCTCTGCGTCGCGAGCGCGAGAAGATCATCACCCAGGACATTCCTGTTCGGGTGCTGCATCCAGAAACGGTAGAGACAATCATGCAGCCCACGGTGCGCGAGACAGACGTGCACATTACCATGCCGCCTCTGCTCCAACTCAAGGCCATCTCGGACCGCTTCACCAAGCTCGCGCTCTCGTCCGGCACAAACTCCCGCGTGAGCCCCAAGCTGGAGCTCAGCGCCAACATGTTTGGCAACCTGAAGCTGCGGATCGCCACCGAGGCCGTCGATGTCTCGAGTACGTGGTCGGGACTCGTCAATCCGGAGTTGGACCCCTCGCAGCTGGAGATGCCCGTTGATGAACACCCGAGTGTCAAGTTCAAGGAGGGCGGCCCGGAGAAATGGGCAACGGTGCGGGTGGATGGCAAGGACTGGAGCCGGGTGCTGAGTGTAGGCCGGCTCGAGGGGAGAGTCGTGGCTGCTTTCGCAGACGATCATGCTTTGATTCTGTACGTTTACGTGCCGCAGTATGATGACGCCACAGCAGATGACGCCGTACTTACCGTAGGAGATCCCTTGCATGCGCTTGGAAGAGAATACTGGCTGATCACTCACAGTACTACGTGACATCATTCAGCGCATGAGCCTTGTTTACGATTTTGGCCCGTCAAGGATGGCATTGTAATGTAATCATTCGGGAATGGCGTTCGGGTTGATACTAAGTAGGTACACTGAGGTAGATGTCGGCGTTTATGTGAACCCCAGGGGCTGGATCAATCTGCAGACCATTTTGAAGTTGAGGCCGATACTGGGATTCTGTCTTCGCAAAGTCACTGGTCAAAGGGTCTCTACCAAGCTTTAATGGGCTATAGATTCGCATGCGATGACGTCGTGCGTGTCAGTTATCAAAATGACCAGGCACTATTGATTGTTGGTTCTCGCTCAACGCTATCTTGAGAGTGGATGTTTTTGTGAAACGTAACTTCTTATGGGCTTGTTTGCGCATCAAAAGTGACATGGGTATCATTGATCTATCTATCTCTTCGGTCTCACCACTCTCACCAGTCTACCGACCTTTATCGACGGCGCTCATCGGGACTGCGCCGGCGATCCCTCGATCGCGGCCGCTGGCCCTCCCTACTCCTACTCCGCCGTCGATGCTCTCTCGGCCCGCGCTCTCGCTCGCCACCCTCACGGCTCCGGCTTCTCGCCTTACGGTGATGCCGCTTCTCCCGTCCCTCATCGCGGTCGCGATCGCGATCCCTCCGTTCGCGGCCACCATGTTCCCGTCCTTCACCACGGCGATGGCGGTGCCTCTCCTCCCCGCGATCCATGTCCCTCTCCCGACTCCGCCTCCTCTCGCCATCCCTCCTCCTCTCTCGCCGGGGGCTACGACTCCGACTCCGCCTCCGCCTTCTCTCCCGATCCTCGTCCCGATCCCTGCGCTCCCTCTTCTCACTGACAACGAGCCCGCCCTTGACTCCTTCCTCCTCTACAGGCTTCGCATCACCTGCACCACCAATCCCCCTAGACCCGCTCACCTCAACCGCATTCGCGCCCGACGAATCCCGCTGCGGCACAGGCAACCCCAGCGCGCGCGCGAGCGCGTCTTCCTCGGCCTCTTTAATCTTGCGCAGCTCCTCCTTGCGCGCACGCTCCTGCCTCTCTTGTTCCGTCTCGCCTTCGACCGCTCCCGCGTCGTCGCCGTCGCCCTTGGCGTACCAGTTCAGGTCACGGCCCTTTTGCCAGCGGCCGACGGGGGCTTTGAGGCTGTGGCCAAGGTAGTTTTCGCGGTGGGACGAGTTGGCAACTTCGTCCCAGCTGAAGTTGACGCCGCCGCGGGAGCCGGATTTGCGGACGCTCGAGAGGAGGTCCATTGTTTGATGGGGTTTGCTTTCGTTTTGGTTTGATGTTTCCTTTGGGTATCGGTGCTATGATTTTCTCGCGGTGGAATTCTTTTGGTAGGGGTTTGCTTATGTGTTGTTGGTATTCGATGATGGTAGATTTTATAATGGTTGTTGTTGTTGGGTAAGGTGGGCTCTGTTCAAAGTGAAGGTCTGGGAGCTTGAAGATTGTCGGCTGGCAAGACCATCACGTGATGGCTCCCCGCAAAACACCCCTGTCGATCCAGCCCCTGCAGTCGAACAAGCTCCGGCCCCACGATACAAAAGTTGGAGAGCTTCCACTCCGGCTCAGAAAGCTCCGCAATCCGCTCTTTGAACGTCACCCACACCCGCCCAGCACAACACAACTCCTGTCGTCAACAACTTACCCGACATACCTCCTCCTAACGAAACGAATCCCTGCAGAATGGCCAACCCAAATGACCCGCCCCTGGACGAGATTCAATGGCGCGCCCCCGACATCGCGGCCTCGATGCAGGGCATCCACTCCAACAGCGTGCTCTTCTACTTTGCCGAGTCGCCCTTTTTCGACCGCCAGTCCAACAACGCCGTCATCACGAACCAGGCCATGTTCAACCCGGCCCTGCTCAAGAATCTCGCCACGCGCGAGGCCTTCGAGAGCGAGCTCGACAAGATGGCCGGGCTCGAGTTCAGGGTCCTGCACGCGCCCGCCGACATGGTGATGGGCACAGGCGTGTGGACGATTGTGAAGCAGACGAGGCAGAAGAACCTCGACCGCGGGCGCATGGAGACGAAGCCCCTGGCGTATTACTTTGTCGTCGGGGAGAATATTTATCAGGCGCCGACGCTGGGCGATCTTCTCAGTTCGAGGATTGTAGGTCCCCTTCTTCCTCCCTCTCACGGAAGAGATGGCACTCTTCTTGAAGGATGATGGAGTTCTAACATTACACCAGGAATCAATCGCCGAATCAATGAGAAAGGTTCTCCCCGCAGCCGACAGCGTACGCAAGTGGACGCCCTCCCTAGGCCACGTCTACACACAACCGACGCCCCCCTCAGCCCTCGCCCGCGCGAAAGATGGAGCGACAGCAGCAGCAGACACACCCGCCGCCGAAGGCGCAACGAACGGCAGCAAGACCTCGGTGGGCGGCAAATCGAGCAGCAACAGCAAAAAGGATTCGACGGCCAACGTGCTGGACAGGCTGGCGGAGGAGTCCTTTGCGATCCACATGCGGCACGGCGGCGACTACTTTGACGAGAACCCCATCACGGGCAGGCCCGGCGACTTCCACTTTGCCAGCACGGGGCGCAAGGACAAGATTGCGCCACCGCCTCCGCCGTCGTCGCAGGCGCAACCTAAGCCAGTGATCAATACCAAGCTGGCTGAGGAGGCCAAGAAGGAGGGCAAGGAGGGGAAGAGTCCCAAGACGCCCAACGGGCCGAAGCCCAAGAGGAAGAAGAGCAAGATTGCGACGCCGGCTACGACGCCCGGTCCGTCTTCGTGAGAATTTGTTCGAAGGGGCAAAAAGTAAAAAAGAAGAAGAAATGGATCCGACTCACTCATAGCGTTTGATTTAGTAATGATACCCCCTTTTGGCCTAGGAGAGCATGCCTTCTATTATTCTTCTAGGGAGAGACAAAGAAAAAGACAAAAAGCAACAATGGTCCGACCGATCGAGGAATCGAACTTGGATCCCGAAATACACAGGAGACTTCACTGTCTAGTCGGGGCCTCTGCAGCCCGATTAACCCCTCGACCATACGGCACAGATACTTGTTGTTGAGAACTGGTGATGATTCATCGGCTATAAAGCCTTGTGGGTGTCCTGCTCGTATTCTGAGGCGTCCCGCGCAGTGGAATGGGCTCGCCTACACTTTCCATCCCAGAACCTATCTAGGATCAGGAAAGAGACGGCTCAGAATCCTCTCATATTTGTTTCTTGATATTCCAAGTTGGCTATGGGTGCCTAGTGAAAGCTCACCCTTTGCGAATAGCTCTGTACGTAATTACCCTTTAGTGTATACTAGCTCATACATACTGATCTCTTTGACTTGATTCTGTATGTTAGGGCCCTTTGATTGTACAGAGGTTTGGCTAGAACAGGCATCCCTACTCAGCCCGTCCCTCATATTTACTCAATGGTCATATATTCCAAGCCGAGATCTGAAATCCTTGGAAATCTGTAGTCTTTGGCGCTCTTCAAACCCCTAGAAAGTGGTATCAAACATCATTGCTGAACTCCATTGAGCCTCTCTGAACCCCCTTTTCACTCCCCATCATCCTTCACCCACCCACTACTCTCCCTCAACCACGTCTCCCAAGTCTGCAACCTCGGTTCCATCGCCCTCAGCTCCTCAACATCAGCTTTGTACCCTTCCTCCTCAAACCACTCCATACTCCTCCCGGCATCCTCAAAAGCCCACCTCACACCCTGACCGACAACCCCCCATGTCCTCGGCATCCTCTGCCCAACAACCCTCTTAAATACCTCCTCCGCCTCGTCGAACCCAATCTCATCACCAGCGAGCCCCACCGCCCTACCACCCCATCCTCCTCCTTCAGCCTCAGTACCAGGACCTTCCACCAGCGCCCGAGCCGCAAAGAGCCCGATATCCCTCGCACTAACAAGCTGCATCTTCTTCCCACCCGCCGGCATCGTCGCCCACAGCCCGCCCATGACGGACCCCATAAGTCCGGCCTCAGCACGATAATTATCCATGAACCCCGCCGGCCTCAAAATCGTCCACTTGGTCGGCGTGCCGCGCGTCTTGTCACGGAGGTACACCTCGACGCGGTGTTTGGCCGCAAAATGCGGCACGGGCGTCGGGTTCGTCCACGAGCGCTCGTCGCCTCCGCGGTCGACGCTCGAGAAGACAATGTGCGGTACCTTGTGGGAGACGGCCGCGTCGATGAGGGGTATGGCTTGCGCTTCGTCTCCCGGCGGGACGGTCACGAGGTAGAGGGCGGATATATCTGGGTGGGAGGCGAAGATGGGGGACGGGTTTTCGGGGGTGCCTTGGATGAGAGTTATTGCTGATGGTGTTACTGTTGTCGTTGTTGCTCGACGGTCTGTGAAAAGGCTGAGGAGGGCTTGGGATTTAGGAGATGATGGGGAGCGGGTCAGGGCGAGGATTTGGGGCGGGCTGGGAGTTGAGGCGAGGGCTGCGATTGTTGCGCTTCCCGTCTGGCCGGTTGCGCCGACGATGAGGATTTTTGGTGTTTTGGATGTCATTTTGAGTGATGGTGATTCTGAATTGGACTTTTATCTAGATTGATTTAGATCATTATTCCAATGTAGTGAGCGAAAGGTGTCTTACATATAGTTCAGTGAGAGCGTAGATCATGGAGACTTTTCGGGTACTTTGAATGGCGTCGTATCGCGCTAGTATTTCTATTTTAATACCAGGATAAATCCCACGAGAAGATCCCCACCCTAACGTTGCGCAACAAGTAGAACCCGTTTCGGAGACTTTGTTATTCTGACTTTAGTCATTTTCTGCCAAGACTGCGACATTACGTGTACTACGTTTTGCCCTTATTCGACTTCAATACTCCCAGGACTTAGACAATACAGCTCCAAGCAATGGCAAAGTGAACGCCATAAGTCTACTTTTGATTGACACAAGTGACCGTATCTACATTCTGCGAGTTTGTTTCGATGGTCTTCCAACAGTGTTATCTATTCACTGATCTCGATCTGCTCGCTAGGCTTCTCTTCAACTGGCTTCTTTATGGCCAATCTTCTCTATAGGCAATTTTTCCTGTCCGTATTATGTATTTTTCTCTCGCTCATCCTCATTCTGATAATTCAACAGGTTACACCAGAGGAGGCAATGAGGCTCGGCCTTAGTTAATAACGTAGCCGCCGTCAACGGACAACGAGGCGCCGTGGATAAAGGACGCTTTAGAACTGCAGAGAAACAAAACGGCATCGGCGACTTCTTGCGGCGTTCCTTTCCGCTTCATAGGCGCCACTGCGATCATGGGATCATCCGACGAGACTTCGCTTGTCATGGGCGTGCTAAACGCCTCGATCAGCCCTCGTGTTCATCATACTTCATCTAGTGAACTCCCAGAACTTACTCAATGATCCCTGGACACACGCAGTTGACGCGGATATTGTACTTTGCATACTACTAGTTGTCAGACTGAACATCCACTTAGTCTCTTATGGCAGGAGTGAAAACCCACATCGATGGCATCACTTCTCGTCATGCTTAGGATAGCCGCCTTGGAGGCGTTGTAGGCTGCTACCATTGGTGTTAACTGTTGCCCTTCACACGTGGAAGAGGGGGTCTCAGCTTGGACTCACGTGTCTCTGGCCGGCTGACCAGACTGAGATTGCTCGCGACATTGACAATGACGCCCCGGTTCCCTGGCCTGCCGTCGTGCGTCTTCATGGATTCCTGCTTGATCATGTGCGTGAGCTCCGCCCGCGAGCACAGCCATGTGCCGCGGTAGTTGATGTTGGTGATCTCGTCAAACTCGGCGGGCGTTAGGAGATGTGACGGTGCCTTTGGTCCAAACATGCCTTCAGATTACCGTCAATAATTTTCCCGATACACTTAGGGATGTCAAAAAATCCTGAATAGACTCACCAGCACAGTTGACTGCATAATCGATCCGGCCCCATTCCTCTACAACATTCTCCATACACGATGCAATGTCCTCGTCGTTGCGGTTGTCAATCTCCATGACAAAAGTGCGCGTCTCCCCGTTGGCCTCCCGGCACATGCGAGCCGTCTCCAGCGCGCCGTCCTCATCTCTGTCGAGCAGAGCGATGCGCTTGCAGCCCTCACGGGCGAATGAGATTGCCACCTGGCGGCCGATGCCTGAGTTCACTCTGTCAGTCCCAGTATTATATTCTATCGCATCCTCCCTCCCGCCTATTTCTTGATTACATGATTGGATGTTATGGCGTTCAAGAGTCAAAGATTTTGACGTGTGACCTTACCTGAAGCAGCGCCGGTGACGACGGCAACGCCTGAGAAGAGTGTCATTTTCATCTCAATCTCGCGGAGGGCGCTCATGCATTCGTCAATGAGGGCTTCGTTTTCCTTCCAGGTCGACCTCTGCTGTTGCAATATCATCGGAGCCAGGTCCGGAAGAGGGTGGGGGGACTTTCTGCGAGTAACGACGGCCCTGTGACGGTTATGGGATTGCGTAAGAGCTCTCTAGTCCACACTCGAGCAGAGTGAAATCCGAA